TACTTTTTCTACATATTTTGAAGACACCGAAGGGTTGAAAAAAGACTAATGAATTTTTAATGTACTAAATGTTCATGGGCGGCAGTCTTCATATGCTATTAAGTTAACGGCAGCTCAGTTCAACTCAATTTAAAATAAGAAACGCTATAATAGTGAAAGGTTTATCACGTCTGTTTTAGCGAATAAACTTTTTTCGTTGGTTATCGTTTAGCCGTAGCCCTCTGTTGACCAACGCGCGCACTACACCGTACAGGAAAGCATACTTTCTCAAGCGTCCGCACATGTATCGGCGGCATGTATCAATCTATTAGACATGTTCACATCTATTTTTACTCATTCGCTTATAGATGGCGCTATGGACATTAAAAATAAAATTAACGTAAATTACATATAAATTTATTAATATTCCATTTAATTATGTCGTTAGTTATAGTCAATACCTCACTTTAATATTTATTTTTTAATACTTTTATCATTTAATAGCCGTGATAGGTCATTGTCCGAGCGCTTGCTTTTAATTCAATACACTCGAGCAACCTGAGTGCCCTGAGTCCCCGGTGCCGGCACCAATGATATTGTAAATTTTAAGTGATGATTTATCACTTGCTTAGTGGTGAAGGAAAACAATGTGAGGAAACGTGCATACTTTCGAAATAATTAAAAAAAATCTAAAATACATAAAGTTCGAAAATCCGCAGTTAGGGATATATTGATATTTCGTCGTGATATTTATTTTTTCATATCAATATTTTCTCTTTAGGCCCCGTTGTCCAAAAAAAAGGTATGGCGAGTATTTAATCTCCAGACAAAGCCAGATTCGAATTTGAAAAAATATCGTTTTTGTTACGATTTCGATATTCAGTATTTTATATTCAATATCGAAATGTATATTTATATATAAATTAAATCAGAAATATCGATATATGTATATTTTTTATAATCCGCCGCGGGGTCAAGTGGTGGCCTCTATAAAATTATAGGCTGTTACTTTACTTTTTGTTATTATTTAGTCGAGTTCGACGACCCGAATGGCGTTGTGGGTGCCTGCCTCCCGCCAAAGGGTGTGGGTTCGATCCCCACTACTGGAAAAATATTGTGTGATGAACATAGTGTTTTTCTAGTGTCTGGGTATTTATATATGTATAATATCTATTTATTTACAAAATAAAAGTTTTTTTAATGTTTAAGTATGTTTATCGGTTTTCTAGTACCCATAGTACAAGCTTTGCTTAGTTTGGGACTAAAGAATGTTGTGTAAAAATGTGTCCTTAAATAAATATTTAGTTACTTTACGTTAAAATGGAGTAGTTTCTAGTATATGGGTTAACCAAGTCAAATTTCGCGACTATATTGTAATTTCATAATCTTACTCAACCCGCCCTAAAATCTCAACATCGCCAATATTGCAATATTCACTGGAAGAGTAAACAAACCGTTAAAAAGTATACAAACTGTTACATTAAGTAATAAGAAACGAACGTTCATACTCGCATTACCAAAGTATTCGATATCCATTAAGTTTGTGTGGTAGCTATTTTTTTTATAAATCACTATCACTACATAGTATAAAACAAAGTCGTCCCGCTGTCTGTCTGTCCCTATGTACAGTATGCTTAAATCTTTAAAACTACGAACGAATCTAGATGCGGTTTTTTTACTAGATAGAGTGATTCAAGAAGAAGGTTTATTTATGTAGAATACATTGCACCCGCATGAAGCCGATGCGGGTCGCTAGTCTATAACATAGATTCTATGGCACAGAAATGGTTTAGGAACGTGTACACTTGTATTAAGTGTACGCACACGCACAGTACATTTTTATTAAGAAAGTACAAAATCGTCTCCAGGGTTCAATACTAATAAAAATAATACGGGACCAGATGGGATAAAAACCGTACATCTATAAATCCGTAAATCCATACTCCATACTTAATATTATCAATGCGAAAGTAACTATGTCTGTCTGTCTCGCTTTCACTCCAAAACTACTGAACCGATTTAAATGAAATTTGGTACAGTCTAGATCCTGAGAAAGGACATAGGCTACTTTACAATTGGAAAAGAAGTGTTGTAAAGGGTTGAAAGATATTTATTTAAGGGCTTCAACGTGAGCAAAGCCGCGGGCAAAAAGCTAGCGCATAATAAATTTTCAAAACCGGTTTCCCAAATGACGGAGTTCTGAGGTGACAACTAAAAGAAAAGAATACAAACGAATTGAGAAACCCTTCCTTTCTTTAAGTCGGTTGTGAAAAAGAATATTCCATCACCTTATTTACTCCTCTTTTACTTCATCATAGAGTTGTCATATAAAAATAATTGTATGTAAACAATTGAAAAAAATATTATTACCTGTTGCAAGGGAAGCACTGAGGGCAGGCTCGAACGCATCCCTAGTCTGGTGGAGCAACAATCTAAATAATATATATAGATACTTGGAAAAAACTCGATGCTATGCTTGTGCCATATGCTAGTGATGCGATAGTAACAAATATTGCCGATGGCCATAATTCTCTAAAAATAATTAATGAGTTACTCGCTGTCTTAAATTAGACGCTGTAGCAAATGTAGATTGTCGTGTATTACAATCTTGAAAATTTCAAACGTCCGTTTTTTTCTCTGTGTGTGTGTGTGTTCACAGCCGTGTGAGTGCTGCTCATAACAATAGCACAATAGGAGCTTTGTTTTTCATACGTCATACGTAACATATGGGAGGACATGTCGCTAGCGGAATTCTGTGTTGGTGTTTTTACTTCGCCGCGTTTTGTCTATTAAAATGTTAATTCGTAAGGTTGCTGCTTAGCACTACACTTGTCACTTCTTAATAATCAAATTATGTCTAATATGCGCTTGTAATCTTCAAAACGTGTTAGGCTATCTAACACAAGTTCTTTATTGATTATTTCATTAACTTAAGTTGTAAGTTTTTAACTAATTCGACGTAATTAGAGCGGCACAATATAGCAGAACCCAATTGTACAAATGAAGATTCGGGTTATCAAATTTGTAGATTACAATTTGACGCCCTTACTGCCTATCCTGTCAAATACCTTTATTTTGTTAACGGGGGGAAAATCTTCAAAAGATACTCTGTCACCTTTCACGTGACAGGGTTATGTGGGGTTCATACGCTAAAACCCCCATGTTGGCCAACTTCTGTACGTTTGGAGGGACTCCGGGATCTCCAACGGAACGCACCGGTGATCCTGTCAAATACCTAACAGCGAAATAGACCATTCAATTCCTAGAATGTTCTATTTATCGAATAAAAAACATCTCCTTCCCTAAATAAGTTGTCTAGTTTGTCTGACAGGCGTGTCAATAGTTCCGCGGGCTGGGGTCGACCCATTTTTTGTGCTCAAACAAAAACAACCGTCACCCGTTGGTTTTTGTCACATTTGGCCGAAAATAAACAAGTAACGTCAAACGGATTGAACTATAATAGAACACTTTCATTGCTAGTATTGGCCCGTTAAAGTACGCAATTTGTCACAGTTTGATTTTATAATGTTAAATCATTTCCTAAATTAACAATCATAGCAACGAAAGCATTAAATTTACTTACGGTTTACCCTATATTTTATGTTGGCATGTTTTTTTACATACGTATGTGTCTATTTAAAGAACATGTCGTACATTAAATACATATCATATGTAGACAAAGGTTAAAATAGAGTGTGAGCGGACTGTCTTATAAATAAACTCCTTTGTGTCAGCAAACTTACTGGTTTAGTTATATATTAAAGTTTTTAATAAGTAATTTAATAGATTAGAATAAATAATAATAGTAGTCTATGCGTAGTTGCGGCTATAAGAAAGCTTGACCTTAAAAGATACGGTCGATTAACCTTAAGTTCGAATCACGTAATAAGATAATGCTACTACTGTAACTATGAACAAAAATATGCTAAAAATTAAATTTGTAATAAGAACTTTGTCTACTTTTTTTTGTCTTCAATTGTATCATTCATACGGGGTTCTAAAAAATCTATGTTATGTTATATCCCTTTTTATTTTTATTTACGTTCTTTCTAAGTTAAATAAACAATTAAAAAATTTAACTTTTATGTGCCGTAGTTTCATACAGAGTAACTATAAAAATATTATGTTTTTTTTTTTAATTTTATTTTATATTCATACAATCGGTTCTACGTTCGTATTTTTCAAGGATTCTGAAAAGACATTACTACTGAGTTGTCGATTTTCAAAAATATGAAATTGCTAAGAACTTGCCAAAATTAAACAAAAAAATAATGAAGTTTTCATCCTCAACCTTTCATTAATAAAGCTAATTTTGAGGTCAATTTATTAATGATGATTTTTTGAATTGTTATTTTTATTCCAAAATAAATTATTTAAGTTTAAAGTTAATAATTTTTATGGCACTTCTATCTGTTATATCTATTAAACTACACTGAGCTGAACTGTATAATAAAATATGTGACATATTACATAAGAAGATTGTTTATTTATTATATATAAATATCAGTGTTTTAAAAGCATATCTTAAATAATATCTTATTAGAGAATGAAAATACTTAAGATAGAAAATGTTGAAAGATATTGTTATTTGGGTATATTCAAAGTGTTTGTGGGCGTACTGTTACGTGACCAACTGTGGTTAACAGTCGTGCAGCTTGTACCGCTAACTATCCGTAACTTGAAGGTCAACTGTTATGCATAACTTAGTTTGAACTGAATTATTTTTGCAAACAATGAAAAAAACGAGTGTTTTCTTTTTTTAATTTTTATATTTATTTAAATTGTTTTTACAGTCGTCTTAGCCTAAGAAAATGGTAACCTTTACATCACAACGTACTCGTACATACGCCTATACACAATAATAATCATGACATTTCATACAAATGATATCTATAAATATACATACAATAGAACAATGGTTGCTAGTGTCCCGGCCATAGGTTCAACTTGGCGAGATGTAAATAGCGCTGGTGATTGCTATGCGGATGAACTATGTGAAGTTAAACACTATGATATGTCTAGTGGCTGTAGTGGCCGCCGAAGTTGTAGTTGCCGTAGCTGCCATAGCTTTCTTGGCCGTAGCTGTGGTCGTTGACCAGCACTGGCACCTTAACGGGTACGGGCACAGGCTTCTCGACGGGAACGGGAACTGGCCTATCAACGTGCACTGGGTAGGGCCTGTCTACTGGCACCTTCACGGGGTAGGCGACGGGCCTCTCGACTTCGACGGGCACATGCTTGTAGACGGGGTAGGGCTCAGGCACGGGAACCTTGACGGGCACTGGGTAGGGCTTGTCTACGTGGACGGGGTAGGGCCTGTCTACGGGCACGTGGACGGGGTACGCGACTGGCTTCTCGACTGGCACAGCGACTGGAACGGGCTTCTCCACGGGGTAGGGGGCCGGCACGTGCACAGGGTAGGGCCTGTCGACTGGCACCTTAACGGGCACGCCGACGTGTTTCACGACCGGGTAGGGCTGCGGGTAGGGCACCTTCACTTCAACCGGGTACGGGACGTGCTTCTCCACGGGGTAGGGCTGCGGCACTGGCACCTTAACTGGGTAAGGCACGTGCTTCTCGACTGGGTAGGGTTGGGGAACGAGGACCTTAACGGGGTAGGGCCTGTCAACTGGAACGTGGACGGGGTAAGGCACCTTCTTCTCGACAGGGTACGGCGCGGGCACATGGACCGGGACTTTGACGTACTCCTTCACGTGAACTGGCACGTGTTTGACGACCTCATATGGCTGCGGCACGGGAACCCTCACTGGGTACGGCACGTGTTTCTCTACTGGGTATGGCACAGGCCTGTCTACTGGCACTCCGACTGGTACTCCTTTGACCAGCGTGATTGTCCTGGTGGTGTCGGTGTGAGCTCCGAGGTTGATGGAGCCGTAACCACCGCTGGAGTATCCACCGTCTTCGATAACGTTGTAAGCGCCACCGAGGCCGTGGCCATTGCCAATGTAGCCGATATCGAGGCCACTGATTCCGTAGCCGTAGCCGAGGTTCAGGAGACCACGTTTGTCCAACTTCTTCTCCAAGGGCTCGGCCTTACTTTCTGTCGACTTCTTCTCGCTGGCAGCGGCGGATGCCACCAGCAGGAATGCTAGGCAGATCTGAAACAATCAACCATGAAGAATGGTCAAGTATAGCCAATGACATTTCAATAAAATATTTGGGTATGAAAAAAACAATGTCTATTTTTCAACATTAACATTTAGGACCTGTATAAATAGACAATTAGAATAATCGACGATGCTTACGTTATAATTATATATGTTTATATACATAAACGTATTTTGGTGAAACTGATGCAAGTGGAAGACTAATTGTTCAATTAGAAGTATTGTTAAAGTAAATTTAATTAAGTTAAATAAAGAAGTCAATTATTGAAACCCATCAAAAGTAATCAACCATACTTCACGCTAACCCAATTTCTGTAATTTAAACAACTCGAAGTGAAGTCAATCAGCGTATCGATGTCAGTGTAATAATGGTTAGATAATAAGCGTATTGATTCCTCGCTATATTACATGTGAAATAAGCAATGCTTGCGTAAAATACGGTCTCAATTGCCTAATCGGTAAGGGCTATGCTAAAACGTTTTGAAACTGGACAATACCAAATACAAGTCGATATTCTGCATAGCTCCACTGAGCCTTTCAAATACATTCACTCTCAATCGAAATTGGAACGGATTTGTAAGCTAAAAGTCCGAATTTGTAATTGTACCTTTCGGATAGGGTTTGAACGTAAATTCGAACATAACTAATAAGTTTTTAAATTTACGTATGTAACAACATCGCGGATGTTCGTAAATATTGACGAGGAAGGTAGCGTCGAAATTGACAAGTCCGCCGAGGTCAGTCCAGTTTCACTTTTATGGGTAATGGTAGCATTACTTCAAACATTTTAGGCAATTTACTGCAAAGGAGACATTACGTATTGTAAAGAGCTGAGATATTATCTGTTCTACCGAATTTGACTGTTATCAATGTTTCATTTTCGTTTTCACTAAAATGTGTTCCACTTTCTGTATCATGTATCACGCGTCCGGATGTAATTCAAGTGTTTCGAAGTTGCACTTCGTAACATAGTACAAAATATATGAATTTGTTTATTTTCAGATCAAATGAACACTTTCTTTGAGCAATCACATCCTTCTCGGTGATTATAAATTTACATTACAAATCTATATTTGGGTTGAGTTAAACTGGGCTGAGGTTTTTCTCATTTTTCCAATTTGCACTTTTACTCAAATCGTTATTAATTGTTTTGTAAAATTTTACAAAAGAAAAACTAATTTAAACATTTTTATAAAAAAAACAATTCATAAACAAATAAATTAAGAAAAATTTGAATAAAAACTCGCTGTGCGTTTACTTGCTGCGTTTCGTAATTAATTTATTCGAAATTTTGTAACAGTCAAAATTTTTATGGTAATTTATAAAATTTGAAGGCAATCAGGGCACGCAGTAGCTCGGATTTTGTTCACAAGGTTGTCTGCTATGAATTTATTTTTATAATATTTGTTTATGGGTATTGTAATCGAATTATATTAACATCATACTTTAAGTATTTTAAATATTAACAATAAGTAAGTTTATCAATACACAAGTTTAATAAATTATTTCTGCCACTTCTATATATACTATCGTAAATAGATCTAAAGACACATAAAAGTTTCAAATATGATTAGAACTAATAAAATAAAAGTACATTCAGCTCCGAATCCTAAGAGCGATATTGTAAATAAATGAACGGATAATAACTGTTCTGTAAATCGACATTAAAACGTTAGTGTCAATATTAACTGCGGCAATCTGCGGGACAGGCATGGGAATGCGAAATAAAGCAGTGATTTTTCTTGTATTGCTCGAAATTGTTTTATTCTTAGATCGACTCCAGTCATAAACTCGATTCATGTGAATAAAGAGATGCATTAGATGCCCCATTTGGTAGTAAGCTGACTTGATAATTTGAACCGAAATGTTTTGATCGATTCCTAAGCACAGGCAACAACAGCAGCTTCCAGTTGGCCGTAAAGAGAAACGAAAAACAAACGGTTCGAAACCGAAACGCCCCAGCCAATTGTGACGTGTCGCAACACCGCAAAGTGCGGAGTTCAGTTAACGAATTAAAAACAACACAATCCGCCATTGTTCCGACGTAAACGATGTTAATCAGTGGGAATGCATAACGGCCTGCGAACCGATCGGCCCTGCAGGGATAATGCCGCTTCTTAGCGCTCTTTCGCAACGCAACCAGCCCGCAATCGCTCGACTGTACTGTGAGTTTTTCGCCGCAAGCACAATCGGAGCGAATCAACGCAAAAAACCGCAGGGAATCAACGCGTGCATGGTTCAAAATGAGCTGTTTGATGCTACTCGTCTAACAAGATTTGACCGCCACGGTACTGGCAACGGTTCAGCGTTAACACATAATAGGTGCATTGATTTGACAGTTTCTGCTTATCGAATGTTCCTTCTTTAAAACAGTACAATCACATATATCTTATAAAGACTTTAGAATTTTATTGAATAAAACGTCGCTCATAAGCTTTTCGTCAGTTACGAAACTAACAGATTCTTAACAGCGCAAACCTGTCCGCGATTTTACCATCGGACCTTTTAAGGTGAGCAGGCTTTGCAGGATGTTGATTAATAATTTTCGCAACTCGTGTTTTCGCGTTTGTTATTTTCGTATATTGGCTAACTTGGCATTATGATTGATTAACTTTGACAAATTAGCCGCGCTACGGAGTTATAACTGTGAAAAACTATTAAAATCAACCAAAAGAGACTTATTCTCATAAAAACAGTGGTATCATTTAAAAGATCGATGTTCGATAACAGCCTACCCATTTCTTGTAACCGTCTCGATCAACGTGCAAAGCACAGCTAGTTCTGGAAACGCACTAATTGCGTAACCGTAAGAGAGGGTCGTAAATATAATCCTTGTCGGTATTCATCGGGTTTTCTTTACGTAACCCCATTAGACGGTCTGATTGATAAACGCAGCGCGTGACGTAACACGGGCGTGGGACCCTGATCAGCCAACACACAGGTTTCCCGAGTTCTTTCCCGGTTACGCTCCTAACCTGTTCATCGCGATCGGAAGAGAAAATGCCCATTGTGATGCAACATTGCTGTTACGCGAGTGTGCTTTTGGAATTTCGTTACTTCGTCTGTGTGCCGGAAAGATTGGAAAGATTTCCCTCGCTAAACGAGAGATACTGTCCGCAGTATACTCTGTTTATTTATCTAATTAATCGTCAATAAGGCTTAATTTACATCCGAAGCTATCCGAATCGTTTAATATGTATGACTGTGGATATCTTCTCGCGGTAATTATTATGCAACGATACGTAAAAATTTTATATGATGTAACGAGTATACCACTTGAACTTGCAGTTGGACCATTAAATTACCGAATTAAAATTCTTCACCTAGATTTTTAAGAGGCAGCCATATTTAGAATGTCAGCTGGTTCTTGCGTATTGGCAAGGTGCAACACGACAAGAGCGAGTGATTATTTGTCGCAAGGTAATCTCGGAAATTACATAGTAATTGTATGAATTTAGCGAACGCGGCGACGGTCGCTAACGTCAAATACCTCGTTAATTGTTGTTACCTTCGGAGAGCTTTTCCTCGAAAACTGAAAGCTGACAATTCTTAACAGACATAGCTCATTAAAAAAACTAAATACGGATTTTACCTATAAATTTATTGATTAAGGTAAACAGATTAATGAAGATTCAACAAAGAACGTAATGTTTTAGTATCTGGAAAATCTATAACCTGTCTACTACGTTAACGATTGAAAAATATGTAAAGTTTTAATAATAAATATAATAGTAAATGTAAAGTTTTCAATAAGCACAATCTACTCATTTGTCTATTTATAGAAAACTATACTGAATTATTACAAGCGGAACCGATAAACGAAATGCAGGGAATTTGTCGTAGTATTTTATTGGGTGTCGTCAAAAAATCTACGAACGCACTTGATACCTTCATAACCGCGGTTGAATTAATCGCGGGCCTTAGAGATAATGCCTTGTTTAGATTTCGGACCTCATTTTTCATTAACCTACTCGATATGGGAACAACATTATTTTGTTTTGGCAGTATCAGAATAAAGTGATCGATCGACGCCACAGTCTAATGCAGGAGGACTTCAAAAAAGTGTGTCACGTTAAAGGAGAATTAAACCGAATTCACGAGGCTGAAGCACTAATAGGCACGGGACACACTAGGCGATTGGGTTGCAAACTTTTTTGAAGTCGTCACAGCACTACACGTGGGGTCACTTTAACACTTTTATTATTTTGATAGGCACTCACCGTCGTTCTCATTTTGCCTCTTGAACGGTGGTTGGTGTTGGGATTCGAACTGGATGCTATACGGACTGTGTGTTGAGTTTTTATAGGTGGTTATTTGGTAGCACTTTCGCCGTTGCCCCCCTAGAGGCTGGATACGCGTCAGGTTCGCGCTCGGTGTAGGCGAGTCCTTCGTATTCGTACGGCCGACGGCTAGGAGACGGACGCGTCGCGCGTTCCATATTCGAATAGTTGTTTTTCTTTTATTTTTAAATGTTTGCTTTTTTTTCGATGGCCTGTAACAATTTAGTAGGAAAATAGATTTTATTCATTTATATGATATCATTAATCAGTGACGTCTTTCGCTTGCCTTCCTATCATGGTTTAGTTTCCGCGTTAAAGTTGTGGGAAATCGATTACATGTACATTTTCTCATTTTCCTGTTCGATATGTGCGCGTTAGTAGTGTGAATTATGTATTTTTGTATTTCCATAATTATTTGTTACATATCTCAGCTATTCATTCTTTGATTTCAAAGTCGGATGCAGTGTGATGATATCAAAGTAATTGTGTTTGAATTAATCTACTTAAACATAAAAAAAAACATAAAACATCTTATTGTATAAGTTTTTTGTAACTATATTTGATAATAAATAAATAATGCAAAATTTATTTTCCTTTTATACCACTTTTGATGTTTTTATCGCCTTACACAAAGGGTCTTGTCGGTTTTTGGTCGTTATAAATATTATTTAATAAGCGTATATTTTTTCTATTAGCGATTCTTAATAGTTGCTAAAAATAGTAAGTTAAAAACTTGAAGAAAATTGCATAACAAAAACAAAAGACATATTTATGTTTCCGGTTCTATTCCAAAGTTTATGGTTGTTTGCTTCAGTATATAAGAATAAAATATTATATAATTTTAAGTTGCATTAAACTTTTATTATTTAAAATAAAATCCAGGTCCGGAAAATTTCTCCAATTCAGGGATTACTTAAACCCGCCTCCTAGCAACGATTTTTATAAAGGAATATGTGTATTATTTTTATAATTTTTTTAATAAAACTTTAAGGTTTAAATCGACTCATATTAAAACCTTCAAATGTCAGCTCGGTTAAGAAGTTTTGACGACGGACAGAAACAGCTCATTTTTTAATACATAGAAACGTTTTTAATACGAAATACGTTTTTCTCGTTTCTTGCAACTATAATTATCATTAGTGTGAATGATTTATGCATCCTTATTGAAAATCCTTGATAGACATGTACATCAGGTTAAATATTTTAATTGAAGATTCCCCACTTAGTATATTTTACAAGGTTGTCTGTCTTACGTAAATAACAGTAAAGACATTGTAAATCAATCATAAATTTCAGTTATTCAGTAGATACGTAACATAACGTGTTATGTTCTTGTCGATCATATTTATTCAAGACAGACTATTAAGCGATTGATATAAACTACTTGCATAACACATCTTCAACCATTGCTATATTTTGCCATATAGGTAATGACAGTTAACAAACTGTCAAATACACAGTTATCATGTAACCGTTAACTATCAGCGATCTGCTTATTATTCTTTACAACATAAACTTACTTTCAATTAATAACACATTTCACAGGTATACTGCTAGTTTTCATCAGTAAAATCATTTGAACCTTCTGTTATTTTTATAACTTCTTTATCATCGAATTTTAAGTTCAGAACTTTTATAAATTAACCACAAAAGAGAAACGAATCAAATTTTTTATAAATAAATTAATAAGTTATAACATTTATATCGTAGTAGATGACTGTGATAAGCAAGATTTTGGGCGATATTATGGCAAAAATAGTCTATGAATTTAGTCTTTTTCTTTTTTTAATTTTGATAATATTGGCCTAAAGTAAGGGCTATGTTTAACATAGCCCTTACTTTAGGCCAATATTATCCTGTGATGTAAGGACGTTTTACAAACATCAATTTCACGCGGACAAATACCCATATGCCCAACAACTATATGTGGGTCACGCAAATAGTTGTCCTATGTGGGAATCGAACCCACGACCCCCGACACCGGTAAGTAATACCTTGGCAACTGCGCCACGGAGCCATTATACACTGCCGCCTTGTTTAATACCTATGCTCTATAACGATTTAGATATTGATACTCAATAGATATTGATTTGATATTTACTATTATTACATATATTCCTAACTTGGGCATTTTTAAAGTCGGTTACAATCGAACACACAGGATTGTGCTTAAAAAATCCTGGCCAGCGAACCCGCAGGAAATGCGCCTAATCAAAAACAGCACTTTTGAAAATCGAACATATCTTTTTATTCGTCACAAAGTTAAACGAGGAAATCACTCCGTTACGAGTAAGGCAACGACACGAGAGTTTCGGAGTCCTTGCCAGAAACAATTACGGTCCGCGAAGGCGGAAGTGTCCGCTATCAAGAATTGCGCACTTTGCGCAGATTAAGCGGGCGGCGTGAACTTAAGATTCCGGTGGAAAGTGTACGAGTACGTCAACCGATAATCGATATTCTTACTCACTCGCGTAACACCTTATAGATGCCAAAGGTTTCGGCGGCCTTATGCCTCTTTCAATAACGATTACCAGAAACTCGCCGAGTGCGATGACCCGGGATCAGAATTTATTCTCTCAAGTATTTATTATTACAACGCGTTAAAAAAAAATAATAATAAGTAGTAAACAATAAAATTAAGTTGCTAGCATGAGCTTTTGTACACTTGTGACATCTTATGTAACCTGTTAAGATATGGCAGATTAGGTAGTTATGATTGTAAAATGAAACTATTTTACGGAATCTAAATTTCGGGAATTTAAAAATCTAATAAAACGTTATAGTATAACGTTATTAGAACAACAAAATAGTTTCATTTAACAATGTATAATATTCGCGTAAAAACAAGAAAAATATACAGTTGTGACTTATGTTTTCGATCGAGAGTACAGTGTGAAAGAGTTCATGACAGTTGTCTAATTGGGATAATATATCGGACATCAACTTTGTTTTTCTATGATTGTTTGGTCAGTTTTGGGAGTAGCGTCGCTTTTTAATCAGCTAATAAAAGCGTTTTGGAAGCCCAGAAGTGTCCACCATTATCATCATCATTTCAGCCTGCTGAAGGCCACTGCTGAAAAAAGGCCCTACCAAGTGTGTGTTAAATAACTCCTAACAGTGACATATCTCACGTAAGGCTTCATATCCATTTACCCATTATCGAATAACAATGTGAATAACCACCGTCTCGAACAATCTCATCGTCTGTATGTCTCCGAAGCATTCACGAGTTTTCATGGTTACAGGACATAAGATCGCTTGATGTTTAACTCGAGTCAGTCTTTTGACTTTGTAAACATCACACGCTTTTGAATTTAGAAAACGGAACTGTTAATGCCCACACGATACTAATTATCAAGTGTTAATTTGCTTTATACTCGAGGTGCATAGACTAAAGGTCGTTCCGGTACGTAAATTCCTGCATAATTAGCAACATAAACGCATCCTATATTATTATAGAAACAGAATTTTTAAAAGCAGGAACTTGCACCTTTGCGCATTTAAGGAAGGCGCTTCTACGTCAGACAAAGGCTTTCGCATCACCAATTAATTGGTTTAAACCTATCCTTCATCAAAATCCTTAGGCATTAAGGATAGTTTAGTACGACAAACATTAAATTTGTAGAAAACGACAAACATCTTTAATATGGTAGAGCAATTACTGTTCACTTTAGTCGAGTACCGTCTGCACCAACAGACTAATTAGATCGGGGAAGAACAACGGAATATGAGCCGTGTGAAATATGAGTATTTATACTGCGTTACGTCTGATGAGTTACTCCAAGACGTTTTATCTTTATTTGTATTGAGTGTCCAGGGCTTTAGTCATCATGCACTATCAGAAGATCCGTCAGTTGCCACTACCAATCATTATTCCGCATTTCGTACATTTAAATATCTCTTTTACTAATTTTCACCTCATTTACCGTGGACATCTAACTATCCGTCACCACTCCCGTTTTAGCACTTGATAATCCCGATAAAAATGAACATCATAAGCTATCCCTGTCTATCCCATACGGGCTGGACGAGAGTGGAATTCATTGGAGACTCACGATGCTATGTTGCCACGTGAGCGAGATGTAATAGTTTAAGCTAAAAACCACGTAAGCCGCGGCCCAGTGGCCTTGAACTCGGCGCCCCTAAAATGGGAGCAAGCGCGACGGAGGCTGCATACGATTAAGAGAAACCCGCCATCATGTTATGGAGTTGCCACGGCGACCTGTTCGAGACCTTTTCACGACCGCTTCCTCCATGCTTTACATGTGAAACTTTAAACTGAACTCGTTCACGTAACATTGCGTCAGACGGCCTATAATCGTATTTACGTACAATTAAGAGCACATTATGAAACTGTTCATTGTTTAATGTTTTGTGTGGAAAACGAAGGATTCTTTGAGTATTACTTAATGGCTTTCTTCGCGGTTAGCCATGCAGCGTCTCCCGTTGTATGCAGGCTAGATTTCGATTTAGAAGTACCAGGGCACCAGAGAAGATCGGCGTAATCTCGAAACATTTCTAACACTCCTAAAGGCTGGCAACACACCCCACAGATATGGCGAATGTCCAAGGGCGGCAGTAACAACATCGCGTCAAGCAAATCACTTATTCGTCTGCTTGATTCTGTAAAAATAAATAAAAAATAGATGTATCTATGAACAATTGTAGAATATTCACGAATACATTTTTTCTTTACATATTCTGTGTATCGCGTTAACATCTATAAAAAAAACAAAAGTCACTGATAAAAGCCGAAATTAAACGCAATTAAATCCTTGAGTTAGGAGTAGTTTTAATTAACACTGTAGTATTTTCCTTGTTAAACATATTAGTTCTATACCGGGCCGGCTAAACAAGCGCATAATGTAAACTATACTATATGTCCAAGTCAAGGCAGTCCAAATAACTGTGCGTTCAATTTTGTTTTGTAATAACAGGCACTTCATAAGATA